TTGGGAGAAGGGGGGTGGGGTTATGGACATTGGGGAGGGTATGTGCTATGGTGAGTGCTGTGAAGTGTGTAAACCTGGCAATTCACAGACCTGTACCCCTGGGGATAAAAATATATTATATGTTTATAAAAAATAAAATTAAAAAAAATAAAAATAATAAATAAATAAATAAAAATATTTTCTCTCTCACATTCCCTTTGCCCCAACTCCTCGGCTCTATCTCTCAAACAAAACAAAACACAACAGTCCCACCTGCGGCCTGCAGGGTCCACCCGAACAATGGAACAATGGCCCCGAGGTTGACATTCCTGATTATCACAGCTGCCCTTCCCTGTCAGAGACAAAACTACTCACGGTAACCCCTTGAGATCTACGGGTGAGATTGGAAAAAAACATCAATTAATAGCCAAGACTTTTTTGTTTTGCCTTACTCTCCTCAGACAAAATGGAATTTTCATTTTGTATCTGCAGCCATGCTTTATGGCTGCCCGAAGCCTTCGTGTAAGAGCCAAGGTCCCCCAGTGCAGCAGGCAGGCTTCTCCCCAGTTTGCATTTTTTCCCCCAAGAGAAGGTGGGGGGTAGAGGTGGGGTAGGGGGATGCAGGGGGAGCCAGAGAGAGAATCTTGAACAAGCTCCAGCCCAGCGCGGACTCCACGCTCGATCTCACTACCCTGAGATCAGACCTGCAGTGAAATCAAAGGTCAGATGTTTCACTGACTAAGCCACCAGTCGCCCCTAGACGATTTTTAGATTAAGATGTCATCCCTTACTTTGTTTTTAGGTATGAATACAGAGGAAGTAACAGGAACAGCAAACTCGGCACATTTATAAAGGAACTCTTATTTTTGGGTTGGTGGGCCTTTGCCTAGGCTCTCTCTCTGAGACCTCTGATTACATGGTGGGAATTTTCCTACCTTGTCTGCCTTTTCCAGATACATCCTCAGTTATAAACTGAGAAGACTGAGGGGTGGGGCGGGGGGCACGTAGTTAACTTCTAACTGAGAAATTGTCTGTGATGATTAATTTCGTGTCAACTTGACTGGGCCACGGGGTGCCCAGACATTTGGTCAAATCGCTCTGGGTGTGTCTGTGAGGGTGTTTTTGATGAGATTGTCACTGAAATAGGTAGACTGAGTGAGGCAGCTTGCCGCTCCCTAATGTGGGTGGGCCCGATGCAGTTAGTTGAATGACCATAGAATGAAAAGCCTGGACCTCCCTCAAGTAAGAGAGAATTCCTCCTGCCTGATAGCCTTCAAACTGAGATACTGGTTTTCTCCTGCCTTTGGACTTGAACTTGAACATCAGCTCTTCCTGGGTCTTGAGCCTGCCAGCTTTTGGACTAGAACTGTACTATTGGCTCTCCTGGGTGTATCTCCAGCTTATAGGCTCACCCTGCAGATTTTATGACTTCTTAGCTCCCATAATTATGTGAGCCAATTTCTTATAACAAATCTGTGTGTGTGTGTGTTTTGTGTGTGTATATATATACATACATGTATGTATGTATGTATGTATACATACATACATGTATATATATGTATGCTATTAGCATATATGTGTGTATGTATATATGTATGTATATATGTGTATATGTATATGTGTATATGCATGTATATATATATGCTATTAGCATATATGTGTATACATAGTAAACTATGTATATAGTATTCTACATACTATATATGATATACTATACATAGTATAATATATATGTATAGGATATTATATACTAGTGTATATATAGCATACATATATACATACATACATACATATAAATATAAATATATACACACACTATTTGTTCTGGTTCTCTGGAGAATCCTGACTGGCGCATGGTCCATGAGAGTTTCCTGACCTAGCGCAGGGCACATGAAGCAAGCAGGGGTCTGGCTTAAAAAGGCTTAGATGTCCCTGGAAATGTGTTAGGACTCTTCTTGGAAAGGAAGCTTGTGCTTGGGAAATATAAGTCACCTTGGCGGGGAGGACAGTGTAAGCAAGGGTCCTTCCCTGGTAACGGGCGCACACCTGCGGGCCTGCCATGTTGCTGAGCAGGTCTGTAGCCGTGGCCGAGGGGATGCTGCACCCAGCAGCCCTCCTTGCTTGCCTTTCCCTGCACTGTGCTGTCTTTGAAAGAAGTGTGAGCAGAAGCTTCCGGAATAGCAGGTTAATAGGGCAACAAATTATTTGTCTGCTTGATAGAACTCCCAGGTGTATTGCTACCAATAGTTTCCATGGGGCTGGGGGTGGCATCCCCAGCCTTCGATCATCCTAGAGCTGATTTTTCTATGAGCGTCACGTGGTTCTGAAATGACATTTTCATAGCAACCAACTCTCTGAATGACAAGGCAATTTTCCGTGTTTTCCGAATCCTGATTATTTCATGGAACCAAGGGGGATGGCTGGGTTCTGAACGTACTACTGGCAAAATTATTCTTGTTTGCTTGAAGAACTGGTTTTCAAAGCCACTTTTTTTTTACTTTTAAGTATTGGAACCTCAACTAAGAAAAGAAGAACGTGCCCTTATTTCACCAAAAAAGTGTCCTAAGCTGCAAATGAAAACACTCTTTCGTCTGTGCCAGGGCTCCGCCGAGTGAGCGGATCCCTGCCAATGGTACCTGGGCTCCTCCCGCCACCCCGCCGTGCTACCCCAGTCGGTGAGGCGGCTTCTGCTCGGAGGTGGCTTAATGTCACTCTCGGTGTGAAACTACAAAACACCCTGTTTAAAAATAATAATCCGTGAAAGGGAAGTTCTTAGGAGAAATGACAAGTTGAAGGCTTTCCAAGTAGAATTATCATTATTGTTTACGAATTTTTTTTCTTTCTTTCTTTTTTTGTTTACAAATTTCTTAACCTCAGGTGTTTAACTGCAGCAAAATAACGGCATAAGATTGCAGCAGTCACTTTACCTTCAGGAGTAAACTGAACGCTGCCTTTGGATCACATTTTGTTGGAATAATATTTTCTTCAAAATCCTCGCTCCCTTTACCACACCTCTTCAGCAGAAAATTGGACAAAAACTCCAGAGGTTTGTCCTAAAAAATTCACCGCCCCCAACACACCAAAAGAAAAAAGAATTTTCAGTTAAAGCATTCACCTGCAAAACAAGTCAATACAGGTACAGCAGAAAAGAGAACATATTTTTAGTAGCGTTTTCTTCTTTCTACCTAAATGATAGTCTAGAAAACAAAGTATTATTCAGTCAAGGTCTGTAAATGGGACTTTGTAGTAATTTCAGTTCTCTTATTGTCATCCAGTTAGGATGCCAAGGTCTTGTGTGAAGGTCTCAAGATGGTCAGAACCAAAGTGGCCCAGAGTGGCCCACATCAGTCTCAAGGCCAGATGAGGAATGGTGACAGAGGGGAGCCTGCTTTCTCAGGGTGGGGGAGAGAAGCATGGAAGGGGCCCTTGCAGCAGGATGACAGTGCAGAACAGTCTAGGACACCCCCACATGTGGTTGCATCTCGGGCTACAGGTTTGAGCACCCGCGAAATGACGTCATATAAAATTATTTTATTTTTTTAAAAGATTTATTTATTTGACAGACAGAGATCACAAGTAGGTAGAGAGGCAGGCAGAGAGAGAGGAAGGGAAGCAGGCTCCCCGCTGAGCAGAGAGCCCGATGTGGATGCGGGGCTCGATCCCAGGACCCTGGGATCATGACCCGAGCCGAAGGCAGAGGCTTTAATCCACTAAGCCACTCAGGCGCCCCAAAATTATTTTAAAATAATTCGGTTGGCAGTAAGAACACTGGACCTATACCAAACACTGTTTAGAAATTCTTTGGTGTGGTCTTTCAGGAGATAGTGCAAGATTTTTCAAGATCTTGGGGTCATCCCTATGACAGCCCTGGTCATTTTACTGCCCCAGCTGCCGATGGGTGGCTGGACAGTGAGGAGCTGGATCTTCAGGGCAGACAGATCATGGCCACCTGCAGCTTCTCAGCCTCCACACTGCGCACAGCGAGCTCCAGAGATGCCTGCTGCTTCCCCAGGCAACCAACTTGAAACCAGAGCAGACCCCTGGTAGATAAAGAAGACGTACAAAGGCGATGGTAAATTCATCCACAAAGTAGAATTAACTACAGTGGAAGAGAAGGATTGCAGATCATTCTGTGGGGAACTGAAGCCCTTATGTGGCATCAGGTACATTACTATTGTCCCTGTTCCTAGCCTGTTCTCCACTTCCCCAGAACAGAGCTGCATAGTCTGTGGTCCTAGAGCCTCGCTGTTGTCTCGGGGCAGACAGAGGTCTTGGAAACTGTCTCTCCTCTCTATTTCCTGACTTTTCTGGGAGAAGAGCCAAGACTGGTCTCTGAAAAAAATGCTTCTTCACGCTTCCCCAATGCCTGTCCCCAACCAAATTATTGATTTGCTTATTCCTGTTCTTTTGTGTTCTCTGTCCCTTCCTGTCTCAGCTAGCCTTTTTTGCCCTTCATCATTTCCTATCGGTTTCATGCTTACTTGTTTTTCCTATCATACTATTAATGGTTTAAACTGTTGAGTAATGTTTATGTGAATCATAAAGCCACTAACATGTTGTTTAAGGAAGTCACTTCTTTTTTTTTATTTTTAAAGATTTTATTTATTTATTTGACAGAGAGAGAGATCACAAGTAGGAAGAGAGCAGGCAGAGAGAGAGGGGGAAGCAGGCTCCCTGATGAGCAGAGATCTCCCCCCTCCCCCAATGTGGGGCTTGATCCCAGGACCCTGAGTTCATGACCTGAGCTGAAGGCAGAGACTTAACCCACTGAGCCACCCAGGCACCCCAGGGAAGTCACTTCTGACTGAAATTAATCATAAGACGGAAAACAGTGCACAAGGCAAATATGTTTTAAATAACCTAGAAAAATTTTCCTGTTTAACTATTTTTTTAAAAAAGATTTTAGTTATTTATTTGAACAAGATAGGGAGAATATGAGCAGGGGGAGGGGGAGGTAGAGGGGGAGAAGCAGGCTTCTGGCTGCCCACATGGGGCTCTATCCCAGAACCCTGGGATCATGACCTGAGCTGAAAGCAGATGCATAACCAAACTGAGCCACCCAGGTGCCCCTATATTTGTCTGTTTTGTGTACCTAATACATTTTGGGCCCAGAATCTCTCAGTGGCTGTTTTTACAACCTGATGTAATTTCTCAGAGGAAATTGTGCCTCCCAAGGGATAAACTGGTTAAAAAAAAAAAAAAATCAGCACAAACTAAAAATGTACTTAAGTGTTAGGTTTTTAAAGTTTGCTTTCTTCAAAGAAACACTCACAGAATTTTCTTTTGAAAGTTCCATCAATCCATCTGCCAGAGTTTGTGCAATTTCTTGGTTATTCAGAATGTTAGCCACATGCATGTTGTCAGAAGTAAATTGCCCTGCAAATATATAAGGCCATATGCCTTGGAATTAATTTATTAATTAATAAAGATGTGATCAAGAGATGTGATCAAGAAAACAACTTATTCCTCACAGTTGCTTTTTAGTGTATTAAAAAAATGTGAAGCATAAAAATTAAAATTCTACTATGCCGTGGGGATTATCTACCATGATAAAATATGAATCGAGCAAGAGTAACTAAACATAAAGCATATTAACAACTACCCACCCTGGTGAAGCTATATTAAATAGAATCTATAAATTGGACAATAAGGACAGAACATGTGAACATTATAAACCTTATAAGTTTAAATTTTAGATTCTCCTTCCCACCAAAATTTCCTCCTCACACCCCTGTATCTTTGAGTTCAAGACTTAAATACTTTGAGTCTACAGCAAATAACATACAACTATAGTTACACAGACATCTTTTTATATTTTTAATACTTTGAACAATGTGCATTGATATGCAAATAATTTTATTCCATCTAACTTCTCATTTCTTACAAATATCATCAAAGAATACTTCTATCTTGAAAAAAGCTAATTTTTTTTCTGCTTTTCTCTTTGGTCCTTAATTATCTGTGTAAAAAACCAGGAGAAATCATTTCTATATAGCCTTATAAACTTTTTAAAATACTGGCTGAACATCTACTAAGTGTGGTCAAGCAGATAGTACATAAAATCAAGAAGACAGCTCCCTGATTTGGAGGCATTTATGTAAAGTGATGTAGGACATGCACTGACATGAAATATCCACATGAAAACACCCATTGTGTAGACAGTCATTGTGGTGATAAGGACCTCAACAGGAAGCAGGGCAAGGAGGAGAGAAAGAAGTAAGACGTAATTAAATAATGACTTAATTTCAAGGTTATTTTAGTCAGATGGGAAGAGTTAAGGATAAGATAAATAGGTGGTTAAAGATGGATGTGGTGGGGGCGCCTGGGTGGCTCAGTGGGTTAAGCTTCTGCCTTCGGCTCAGGTCATGATCTCAGGGTCCTGGGATCGAGCCCCACATCGGGCTCTCTGCTCAGCGGGGAGCCTGCTTCCCCCTCTCTATCTCTGCCTGCCTCTCTGCCTACTTGTGATCTCTGTCAAGTAAATAAAAATCTTTAAAAAAAGATGGGGGTGGTGGTCATTTAGCCAGATGATAAGTAAACAAAACAAACCAAAAATTTCATCTTAAAGAATAGACTGATTTAGGGGAAGCTCTGGTTGACACAGAAAATGGCTTCCAAGACTCTTTTATGATAGATTAGCCATGTGTAGGGACTGCAAATGGGATGATACATTCAGTGATGTCCAATAGGTTCAGCAGAGGTCCGGGGAGCCCCCACCATACTGAATATTTCATATAGAAAATACGTAGAACATAATCGTAGAACAATTTAAGTAGTGGGTGCTGTGTCTAAGAGGAGCTTAACTTTTAGAGCAGGTTGGGGTGGGAAGAAGGGCAGAGCCTTCTGGCTTAGCAAACACTCTGTGAGCTTTGTCTAGTCAACCCACTTACTGGCATAGGATTAGTAAAGCGCCACTATTTAAAAGGAACTAGCCTCAGCATTTTGAAGATAAATATACTTGTTGTCAGTGGATAGTCATTACCTTTGAAAGGAGATATGAAAAACAAAGGAAAGAAAGTTTTACTGAACAGGTATAGAAGCCAACATTTGCTCGAGCCCTTCCTGCCCTGGAATTCCCTCTAGTTATGAAGGACCCTCATGATGAAACGGCAAGAGAAGCAGCGAGAGTTCTTACCTATTATCCTGGCACTGATGTTCTTCTGTAACTCCTTGAAAAGAGGACTTAACTGTTTCCTTACTGATTTCAAGGTGTCTTCCAGAAAATCCGTGAGACTGGACCACGTCTGCAGCTTTGATTCCCTGAAGTAGATGGAACAGGGAGCCCTTTCCCACGGTTGTCCCAGCCAATCACCTAGAACTGACATGATTTTCTCCTTTTAGTATTGCAGGTCAGAGCTCCGATGAAAGAATTCCTCTTGTTTACAGTACAACAAAAACTTAGTTGTGTTTACAGCAGGCTTATTCCTCTCTCTCATTAGAAGACTAAGAGAAACACCCATCATCTGCTTTCAAAGGTAAAATTAGAAGCTCCAGAAGGAATAATTTCAAATGTTACCTATCTGTTCTTTGACACATAAGGTTGATATGTCACATTTGAAATCAAAATTGAATAGCTGTGGGATTTGTATATCAGGAAGCAGAGTGGGCAAGAAGGTGCTGCTTTTTCTTTAGATCCTAAAATGAACATACAAGAAAACCCCACTCTGCCTGGTTTCTGCACCGTGCCATCCGAAGTCATCTTGGGCTAGCCAAACCTATGGCTTCCTTACATCATGTCAGGTTGCTCTCTCTCTCTCTAAGTTTCTCTACATGACTGTAGTGGGTGCTTAAAGAGATTCTCTCCTTGGAAGAAAAGAAATTCTATCCTTGGAAGTCAATTACTAGATGATGCTGGGACATGTTAAATCTGATTTTGTGTCCTCAATGGATAGATAGCCTTATTTGATTCCTCTTCCCCCTTTTTACTGATAAACATGAGCAACTCTTTATGACATGCTTTCTAGAAGAAAACTAAGAAGACGAAAGGGAAAAGGAAGATGAACAGAAGGAAGAGGAGATAGAGGAGAAGAAAAGGAAGAGCTGCCCCATAAAAATCAGTGTTTGCTCCCTGCTCCCTGCTGCAAGGCTGCCGTCCTCTCTGCAGGGGGCCCAGTGTGTTGTCTAGCACTTGGTCATGTAGCTACAGAGCTGAAATTAACAAGTGACTTCTGCTACAAAAATCTAGCAGGTCAATGTGCTTTTCTGTAGATACGTGGAATCTTTTCCCTTACAGGTTTCCAGTCATGCCAGTTCTCCCCAGGTTTGAAAGTCCCTTAGAATATGGGATTAGAGACGTCATGCTTTATGTGGTTTCTACGTGGTCCCAAACCCTATGTAATAGGAGGCCAGGGAGTTTTAAAGGGGAAAATGGTTCTTGTTACTTTAGCAGAGCAGTGTGGTTTTTTTGTTGGTTAGACAATGTTACATTCGCATTTAATATCTGCATCTTCTGCGGAGAAAGGGGAACCCTCCTACACTGTTGGTGGGAATGCAAGCTGGTGCAACCACTCTGGAAAACAGCATGGAGGTT